TTGACCACCATTACAGTGAAAAAGTTTAAATGGAATTTCCTGCATTTCAATTCGTGCCCATTGCCTCTCATCCTGTCAATGGACACCACTGGGAAGAGTATGGATTTGTTGAACTCAGTGCCATCATCCAGGTCATTAATGAAAACGTGAAACAGTATTGGCATTCCATTTTCACATAGAAAACATACTTCAGACAATCTGCACCTTTTTAACATTAGTGAAAATTCAAGTTATGCCCTTAGATAACCCATGCTGGCACATTACCAAGGTAACAGGGGCAGAGGGGAATCAGAGCTAAGGAAGTTTCTGGGATAGGTAGAACAGGCTACGGGGGGATCAGAAGCAAGCAGTTACTAAGAAAGAGAGGTCTGGAATAAACTTTTCCCCACATTGCCTAGAAACATACATAACCTTCACTGCTGCTGAATCACAGGGGGGTTTTTTGGTTTGTTTGTTTTTTTTACAGATAACCCCTGAAATAATTATTCCATTCTGGCTGGTGCTGGAATTTTGTGTCCAAGTTGGCACATTATGTTTTAAGAAAAATATGCAAAAATTTAAGGTAATCCTAAAGAGAGAAAGAAGAATTAGAAGTGTAGAAAAGATTGCTGAGAGGAAAAGTTGGAAAAAGAATGTTGAAAAAAAGAAAACTAAACAGTCTTCCAGTGTCCTAACATTCATTACAAAAAGGATGCAAAGGATGAAATTGGCTTAATTTGCAGACAGAAAGATTTAGGTTAGATGGTAGGGGGAAAAATGCCTACAATAAGGCTAGCTTTGGACTTGAGGCTACCTAGAAAGTTTAGACAGGTCAGACAAACATTTCTAACGATGATCCTGCCTCCAAGCAGAACAACAAGCTGGGGGAAACTCATGAGAACTTTTCTCTGTCTTTTATGACAGTATATTTCAAAGACTGCTGTACCCATTCACAAGGTTGCAGAAAGGTTTACAGGATTAAACGTTTAAGAGTTAATAAAACACATTATCAATTCTACACTATTTCTTTGTTTTTTTCCCATCGAAATAGTAATTGTTTGTGAAAGGGCTAACACTAAAAAGCAACTGCCAGGGTTCATGCAAGTTCAATTCCCATCTGATCATTTTAATGATGCTTGGTGAGAATCTGTTTTTGTGGAATTAACCTCAGCTCTTTGTTCCCTTTAGTTATTTGAATCTGCATCCAAAACCCATAAGCACAGCTCTATGTCCCTAAATGAAAATGGTGATTGAAATGAAATTGGGATTGATAAAGATTCTTAGAACAAGCCTGTAATATTTTCATGATCTTTATCTGAAAATCTGTCCTTCCCCCTTACAGAAGGGGAGAGTTACAGCTCCAAATACTCTTGCATGATGGTCCAAGAGCCCAAGGTGCAGAAGTCCAAATGAGCAACAAGCTTGGTGGTGTGGCCCAATCCAAAGATCTCTTCAAGCACTCTGTAATAGGCACATGTCTGCTGGACTGCCCTTGACGTGCAGTAATTCTAGGGCAACAGGCAGGAAGAAAAAAAGGGAGAAATGGATTTTGAGAAAAGTGCACCAATGAGGAAGGAGCAGCAGAACTGCAAAAAAACTGAAGGCAAATAGGTAGGGTCACATGGAACTCGGGGCTTTATATAGCCCATGAACCACTTCAGAGAGTCGTGAGAGCTCTGGGTGGTTGAGAGCACTCTGGTGGTGCATGGACATTTGGTAGCTGCTGGAGGACCTCACAGCCTGCACCCTGGTTTGGTCCCCACCAGGAACTGGAGGGAATTTGGACTGAATTTCAAGCAGAGCTTCTGGTTTAGCTTCCTCCAAAAAAGCTACCTAGGTTGCCTAAGGTAAGTAGGGGTAATCAAGTGATTTGCTTCAAAACTGCACTGCTCCAAAACAAATCACTCATCTAGCCAAAGCCTAGCTCAACCTAGTCCACACTAAGGTGGTCCTATTTTCCATCCTCCCCACACCTCCATGCTGCTGCCCCATCTGCAGCTGTTGGGGAGCAGGAAGGGCCAGCTGTTCCCTAAGGAACAGGGAGCCTGTGGCAGGGCATGGTAACATGACCAGCAGGAAAGTGGTCTCACCAATATCCAAGCAAGGCAAGCCCAAAGATGGTAGTCAGGTTCGAGAGTCCAGATCATCGGGCAACTTTATGATGATGAGGCAGGTCCAAGATCAAGGTGAGAAGTCAAGCTGCAGGTCAGGGTTATATCCAGTGACAGTTATTAGAGTCATATGCAGTTCAGTGATTGCTAGGCAGGTCCACAGCAATATGGAAGGCCCAAGGAGTAGTGTAGGTCCAAGAGTATAGCTCAAAAAAGGTTTGAAAGCCCTGGGCTGAGCTTAAATGGGGCTCTTGGGCCCACAGGCAGCAGGTGTGGGTGGAGGTTCCAGGAGAGACTTGTCAAGACCATTAAGGTCTATTAGTGCCACTGAAGGCCCTGACAGTTGCAGACAGGCAAGAAAATTTAGGGAGCTGATGTAACTGAAGAGCTGGAAGGTTTCTTCTGAGTCAGCACCTGATATGTGTGTATGAGCTCTAGCGCTGACCTGAGGGAGGGAGGGAGGAGATGCAGCCAGTGGAAGGGGAGAATGTGGAACTGCTCAGGCCAGGCTTCCATCAGCCTAAGATGCCACAGAGCTGCACCTGAAGAAGTCATGCAACTAGGCAGTAACAGATGAAGAAGGACCCATCAAAAAGTGTGCATGCTTTGATGGAAAAATGTGACCTCATCTTTCAAGAGCACTGTCCTCAAAGTTTTTGCCTACCAGCTTGCATGAGGAAAAATAAACCTCTCTAGATTAAAGGCTAAAGGTAACCTTGTATGCCATTTTATCTAGTCTTCAGTCTCATTCTGAAATCTTTAGACAGTGCAAAAAACATAAGCACCATCTGACATCTGATGCCTGAGTGACTTCAGCTCATGTTATTGGAACAGTCAGTATGTATTTGGCTGGGTATGTGATTTTGTGGAGCTCATACAAGGTAGTATTAGACTTCGCACGTCTGTTTGCAGATACAAGAGCATTTTCCAGACCCACCACTGAAGCAATTTCCAAATGAAGTCTGTAAATGAAATATCCATTTTGCAGCCCTCTCCCATAAACAGCTCCTTTCTTTGCTAAGAAGTGCTGTCACTTGTTCAGGTCTGCATGGGAGCCTAAAGCAGAAGCTCATAAATCATCTTTTCTACTGTGCCACCGAAAATCCTCTACCTCCATGACCTCCCATTGCCTATCTATAGCCCCATCCCATAAGCAGTGGTCATACACCTATGAAGAAAAACACATTCTGGGGAGAAAGGAGCCATTGTGTGAAACAGAGGTAAGAACTATGCTTGTACAGGAAAACTCAGCTTCTGGTGAATAAGCCATGAGGCGGGACAAAAGGTCATGCAGACCCTTGCATTGTGTGAAGTTTTACTAGTCCCCAAAGCCCAGTCAAGCTGCACACCTTCTTGGGAGGGACAGGTCTGGCTGACGATGCAATTGTTTCAAATGTTACAGGAACATACGGCAAGAAGTGCTAAAGCCCTCTCCACATCTTCAGCAAGATTCATGCAAGATAGGGCCAAATTTTGCTTCCAGCTGTGTCCACCAATATTTTTAAGAGAGATAATTACTGCTAGATACTATTGGGAATCGCCTGTTTATACTAGAAAAACAATGCTGTTACAGGCATATGCATAGTGCTTCTGGACATAGGGGCAAGGGGTGAGATTTATTATATCAACATTGTGTCTGCTAAGAGCCTTCTCATTCCAGTTGTCCTATATTACTGAAGTGCACTGAGTGCAAGGTTTTGCTGGAACAACAGAAAATGCAGGTGGGGATGAATGTCACATCCCTGAGTCATGCAGATGCTAAAGCTTTTTCAGGTAATTTCTGTCCCTCCTGATGAGGGCAGAATTTGACACCTTGTCCTCAAGTTCTCTTTCTATGAAAACTAAGATGGAAACAGAAAATAAGTGGCTTGTTACTTCCTCTCAATGTCTGTGGGACTGTGGTGCCAACAAGACTGATGCAAAAGGAAACCATTTTCATTAGTTGTTAAAACAGCAGAAGCTTGTTTTACTTTGGCTGCAACATCCTTCTGACTCCCACGCAGGAAGTATTCATCCAATATTCCACATAGGCAGAATATGTCCAGTTCCTAGAAGTCCGAATACAAGAAACTGTAGTCCATTTTAGAAACTACACTGATCTTGGATTATAAAAGTGAGAGGCAGTCTGCTTTCACACGTAAACCTGGGCTACAGTTCCTGAGTTCTTTTTCCTGTCTTTGTCCCTAGACTTTCGACAATCTTTGGCGAAACACATCCTTCCAGTGTGTGCCTCACCTGTAAAACAAGGCTAATGACCAACAGGTGAAAGATCAGGCGTTACTGTTATTTCATGGACAACCTCCTACACATAATAAAGGTTACCTCTGAAGGGGGAAATTCATTATTACTGGTTTCTAAGTGTGCCTAGGTAAATTCTACTGTGAGAAAAATAGCTACTATTCCACTACTTCTGTTCTTTTGCACCAAAGCAAATGAGTCAAGTGGCTTATGAAACTGGCCACATCACTGAGAGGGCATATTGCATATTTACAAGAGCTTAAGATTGTTTTATTTACACTTTCATTGCTAGGGGCTGTGAAATGGAACAGAATTCTATTTACCAAATACTCTTGCTAGTGCAATAAGTTAGAGGATTTCTCAATTAACACATGGAACTTACGTATAAAAGACAAGAGGTTAAGCAACACTGCAGTGCCCAGTGGACCATCTGGTGAACATTAGGATTGTCAATAAATCATGAAAGCACCAGTTCATCAAGAAAATTCCATTTCAAACCACTGACAGAAAAAAAAAAAAAAAGGATGGGAAAAAACTCACAAAATTGGTATTTTCATCTTTTATAAAAACAGGAGCATTAAATAACTTTAATCTAATTTCAATTGTTTTATTGGTTCTCTTCTGATGACCACATGGCTTCACATACTGAATGTTTAGCCCTTTGTCTTGCACACAAAGCATTATGAAATAGCTTGGTGCATCACCACAGGAGACGCTCATCTCTTTCCTCTTAGTCTTTCTCCTCGCCATGGGTGATAACGTAACAGAGGTTCTTATAGTCAAGATTACCGGAGACATCTGGAGGGAAAGCGGCAAACATCTGGTTGATCTACCAAGCAAAGAGGACATAAGTATTACAAACATAGGACTGTGGGACAGCAACATGTACTGCTTTTGATTTTCAACCCAGTTCAGCTCCCTTCTGCCTTGATCTGTTAACCACTGTGGAAAATTTTTCCTTAGCTTCAGTAAAATTGAAATAGGAATGAGGACACAACTAGTCAATAC